CATTCTTTCTGACATATATTCTGGCATATCTTCTGACATTTTTTCTGGCATTCTATCTGGCATATCTTCTGACATTATATCTGACATATCTTCTGACATTCTTTCTGGCATATCTTCTGACATTCTGTCTGGCATATCTTCTGACATTCTTTCTGACATTCTTTCTGGCATTCTATCTGGCATATCTTCTGACATTCTATCTGACATATTTTATGACATTCTTCCCGTTGAGGTCCGGCAGTGCCCACTGCGATCTGGAAGTCGCGGTTGAGGTCCGGCAGTGCCCACTGCGATCTGGAAGTCGCGGTTGAGGTCCGGCAGTGCCCACTGGGATCTGGAGCTCGCGGTTGAGGTCCGGCAGTGCCTACTGCGATCTGGAAGTCGCGGTTGAGGTCCGGCAGTGCCCACTGCGACCTGGAAGTCGCGGTTGAGGTCCGGCAGTGCCCACTGGGATCTTGAGCTCGCGGTGGAGGTCCGGCAGTGCCCACTGGGATCTGGCGCTCGCGGTGGAGGTCCGGCTGTGCCCACTGGGATCTGGACTGCGAGGAGGAGGGGGCGGAGGAGATGGAGGAGGAGGATGCGGAGGCGGAGGAGGAGGAGAACAGCTCTGATAAAATCTAACAACCCTCACCTGGCAGGTGGGGAAAAAAACATTCCGGAGATTCCAACCCTGAATTCATAAGGAAAAACGACCATGTTCCTACAGTTGTTGTTTTTTTCCCTGAAACAAATCCATTAGGAGCCTTGGTGTTTCTTACCCTTGGGGACATCGAAAAATAGCAAAAATGTTCAAACAGACTTTTCCCTTTAGAAGAATCCATTAAGAGATCCTGGTGTTTCTTACCCTTGATATGTTTCCCTCAAAAGGAATAAAACACATTGATCATGGTTAATAAGGGGAATCATCCACATAGCTGTATTGATACAACTTCCTCAATGTCTCCATTAATATATCATCCTCACAAAAGATTAATATACCATATACCATTCGCTTATTTAACCTAGCTATAGCAAATCACCATTCTTAATGGGTAAATCAATGCAAATCATCTATAAATTGGCCATGTTCCATACCTATGTTAGTTTACCAGAGGGAAAGTTCCCTACATTTTTTCCCTTCTCCAAGAGCCTGTTGCCATCTCGACCAGGAGTCAAGTTCCTCCAGTCGTCCAGGTGAGACATCTGAGTTGAAGCACTGGAAGAACTGGAAAATTGCCATGGTAATGGCTAAATCACCATGTTTCTCATGTATAAATGGGCAAGTTTCCATATTTATGTTGGTAAATAGGCCATGTTCATTATTTTTCATCCATAATGTTCATCTATTTAATTAGAAAAGAACAAATCATCTATCAATGGGCTATGTTCATCCATTTTCTATGTTAGATAACCAGAGGCTAATCACTGGAAAAGTGTGCGTTTCCAAAGTTGTGGCATGTCATTGTCAAAGAGGGTTTTTTCATTCTGTGGAGCCACTGGATGTCAGAAACAACAGAGCAACGGGGGGTTCAATGCCAACGTCCGATAAGGTCCGATATTTCAAAGATATACCCTCTGGTTATTTAACATGGCCATGGAAAATCACCATGTTTAATAGGTAAACCATCTATAAATGGGCCATTTTCCATGGCTATGTTAAATAACCAGAGGGTAAAATATTAGCCTCTGGTAACAAAAAGCATGGCAATTGGGAAATGGAAATTGGATGATTTGGATCCTAAAATGTCCAGTTCATTGCCATGATCGACTCTAGGAAGATCCGAAAGTAGATTCGCTCCGTGACATCGCAGCAAGAACTTTTGATCCGAAATGCCATGGAGCTTGAGATTTCACTTGAGCCATGTCTTGCTTCAAAGGGTGGCATCAAGAATTTCTTCAAATCCATATGGAGATGGGGTCAAAACCCATGGACCTTCCCAGATTTTGGGGGGGATGAACATCCACTAAAACCGAGTTAGCAACTTGTCGAAAAGATACAAAGGATGACCCTCAAGACTAACATGTTTTTCCCCAGTTCATCCAGGACAGGCTGCCAAGCCGTTGCTACAGGAGTGGGCAGATAGTGCTGGAAGGCTTTTGAAAAAGACGCTGCTTGTAGTTACTAATGTTATCTAATGTTTATAATTATATATTTATATATATATGTAGCGTATGTAGTTATATTGCTGTCATGGGATATCGTTTGATATATAACCACATGTTTAACCAAGACGGTGAAATGGTCAATAGTGGTTGAGTTTGGGAAACAGATTATATATGTGTGTAGCGAAGAAATTTCCTGATTCCTTGAAGGTTATCCTTTGGCAATCGAACATGGCCATGGCTGAAAGTCACCAACTCACTGCTATGTTTTTTTGGGGAACATGTCGCCGAAAATGGCATACATATTCAGACATATGTATATACATATAACGTATGATAGATGTTTATATATGTTTATACCTGTAAAAAAAAAAGCTTATGTATATGCAGTATATTCATATACAGAGGAGGCCCCCACATGCGAAGCCTGATTTCAATTGACTTTCCGGCCCCAAAAATGGAACCTGAAAGCGCACATCTGTTATCAGCTGTCTCCGTTCCCTGGCTCCAATGTGGCAATTGCGATGCAGCACCACCCAGGCAACATTCACCAATCCTTCGCTACTCCGCGCTACTCCGCTACTCCGTGCTATGTTTTAATTCAATCACCCAATGTAATTGACACGATATCGAAAAGATGACGGAGTAAGAGAGCCTTCAATACTTCACCTTCCCACATCTTTCCCTAACCAGATTCTTACTCCATCCCGTTTTAAATTTGTACTATTAACCAATAACGGGATTGACTGAAAAGATCTTGGTTCATGTTCTTTCCGGGCTGAAAACTTCGGTAGGAGTCTAGACAGTTACCCCATTGAATACTCAAATTGACTGTGACCCATCCCACCTGGAACTGGATACCATGCATTGAAAAAGTCAATCCCTAAATCAAACCATTTCCGTCAATACCCAAGGCTTCATGTTGAGGGAACCTGGAAGTCAGGATGAATTTCAGGCCGTGCAACATGAACGTACAACACAAGATGTGCAGATGTCATCAACTGCTACATGTAAAATACTCAAAAGAGGCTAGGTTCTGACTCTGCTTGAGCTGCTTGGTGAAGGAAAATCCATTCTGACCCTTGCTATCTCGGTATCGTTTGGTGGTTGTTGAGGATCTCTTCGGATGGCCTTTGGCACACGCTTCCGGCTTAAGGTCCAGAAAAGCGGTTGGTTCGTGAGGATCATGCTGGGCTTTATGGCCGGGGCTCCAAAGGCTTGCATCCAAAACCGGATGCAAAATACTTCAGCACCGTGTCACTGCTTGGAAATGTTGGAAACTGTGGTGGGTGGATGGCCTTTCAGCATGAAACAACGAGAAACTGGCTGCCCATGAAACCGTGGCGCTTTGGAACCAGATCGCCAATAGCTTCAAGGCCGTAGCTCAGGGTGCAACAGAATGGTTGAAGAGCTCGGGTTCCCCAGGATAAAGTGGATCCCAAGCACACTCGGGAGAACAATGATCAATGCCACCCTTACAGAGTTGTTTGGGTGCAACATGAAACTGATAAACATTATGTAACATATTGTAAATCAAAATTCATTATTTCCATGAACCAATGGCTGAGAACTATTTCAAATCCTTATGAAGCTTTGTTGGAAAAGGTGAGAAATTTCCTTGGGGTGAATTTGGAAGGGCTGCCTGCCACCTAAAGCTGAAAACCCATTATCAATCAAGTACTTTCACCAAGCATAGTATATGACATGTGCGAATGTATGCGGTACAACTGATTTTTGGCAAGTCGAGCTCATGTGATTTCGATGCAGCCCTTTGGATTCGCCAGCCTCAGCCTCTAGCTCTAGCTCTGCCATGGTGCTTTTTGAGATGGCACCTTGTCCGCCTTGCAACGTTTGAAGTGGGAATCCGTTAAGCTACGGTTTCTCAAAGGGCTTCTCAGGAACAGTTGTAGCAGCCCATAGTTGTTCTACAGTGCTGCTACAACTTCCAACAACTTAACGTTTTTTGTTTTCTCTTCTTTTCCTTCAAAGGCTTGAAACGCGCCTTCCACTCAGCTGAATTTCTGAGGCAAGCGGCTCAGCTGTCTCCAACATTGCGGCGGCCTTCCAACTCCTCAGTTCGTGCTTACTTGGCACCTTTGCAGCCCAGGACCGGTGTCTCTGTTGACGGTAGCACCCTTAGCTCTTCCGCGCTTGCCGTCTGCTAGCCAGTCTAAGCGAGATTGTGCTGGCCTGGGTGAAAGGTTTCGACTTTTGACACCGCACTGGCAGATTTCATCAAGCTTTCACAACCGAACACGATATCCATAAACATGCGCTTACCGCTTACATATGCCCTCGCTCCACATGTTGGGTGGGGACGCGTTTCAAAGTACTACCTCGGTCTGGCCAAAGCTTGGGGGCAAACCCAGGCAGGAGCAGTCGCCAGAGACAATGACATAGGCGCCAGCAGGCGCAAAATCCCCCCTGTGGCCAGGAGCACTTGCGGGAGCAAGAGAGGCGCCGCCAGCAGATGCTCTCAGACTATGCGGATTTCGTGTTCGCCGGAGCCTACCAGGAGGACCACCAAGTAATCTATGCAGCTTAGCGTTCACTTGAAGACATGGAGTGTCGCTTGATTGCAGCGGCTACGTCCCTTCTGCCCGCTCGCTTTTGCTGCCAGGAGCCTCTGATTCGTGGAGACCGCCTTGGAGGCGGACTTTTCGGAGAAGTCTTTACCACATGGCGAACCTCGGCGATTCCTGTGACCGATTCCTGTGACCTTTCGAACATTATATCTTCACAAAGTTCAGGCAACATTTCTCACCCTGTTTGTTTTGATTTGCTGCTAGCAGCTGTCAACACCTTGCAGATTTTCAAGCACTTGTGTCAGTAGATGCGTTCTTTAAACACTCTTTGGGGTCTCTTTTTGGGATGCCCTAGTGGTTGGTTGACAAGCAAGGCTTCGGTCGCCTGGTGGTGGTGAAGACACCACGCGTCGGCGGCCCATTTGACGATCCCGGGCCTATATTGCGCATGGAGTTCCAACGTGCCTGCCGACTCAGCAACATGGCGAAAAGACAACATCGGCTTTTGTGATTATAAGCAAACCCGCTGACACAGCACGGGGCGGCATCATGTGCATGTTTCATCATGTTTCATGTGCCAGCCACAAGGTTGAGTAAGGTACAGGACCAAGAGTGCAACAGAGCCTATGGCGCTTTGCCCCACGCGCCGTGCCGTTGCCGGCCCAGGTCATCCGCACTCGGTCCGCGCTTTGGGCCGAATGGACGTGGCCACTTTTTGGGAGTTTGTGGTTGGAAACCCTTGGCGCCCTCAAACTCTGCGGCATATTCCTCCACTGAAGCGAGCCAAGGCATGACAAAGTATGGCATGAAGTATGGCAGCCAATCAACCCTGAACACTGTATGGATACCTGCGTGCATGCATGTATACTATGTATAACCAGCTCTGGGCACATAGAATGTGGACTCGAACGTTCTAGGGCAGAAAACACCTTCAGGAATGGAAACGCACATGCACAGAACGCCGCTCAAATGCACATAGAATATGTTCTTTGCTTTGGGATTACGGTTTTGGTTTGCATTGGGCAGTCACCAATAGCTTGTGTTTTGTAATCGCTTGGTTTTGGTATTTGCAATGGGCCTGAGTGCCCGAAAATGAACACCTATATACAACAACAGGTTTCAAAGGCTACTCTTGCAAATGGTGCCCAAATTGTTTTGGGACATTTGCGGACATTAAAAGCATTTTTCAGTTTGAGCATTGATGGCAAAGAGACTTGAAAGGTTTTGATCAGCTTTGATACGTTTTGGTATCCTCCATGAGGTGGCGACGACACATGAGTAGAATATGTTTTGCCATCCCGCAGATTGCCCGGAGATGTCCCACACAAATAATGCCGCAGACTTGCAGTTTTGAACCGTGTTCATTTGTCAGCTGGAGGTGTCAACAGCTTCAACCAGAAAGGTAAAGACAGGTGCATAGAATATGGGTGTTTGAGCAATCCGAAATATGTCCATTAATTGTGTTTTACCACATGGTTTTGTTTTGGGTCCTGTCTATGTCATTATAGGTTTTGTTTATTTGGGCTGCGGGATTGGACATATTGATATTCTATCTACTCCAAGTTGATGATTTGTATGTATGCATGCATGTATAAATGTATGTATGTGCATGTATATGCATGTATGGATGTGCATGTGCATGTGCATTATGTGTATATAAATGTGGGTAAGTGTGTGTGTGTGTCTGTGTTTGTGTCTGTGCATGTGCATGTGCATGTGCATGCGTTTGCCTGCGGGTATGTTTATGTTTGTGTATGTGTACGTGTGTGTGTGTGCGCATGTAAGTGTGTATGCAAATGTATGCGTAGGATGCATGTGTGTGTGTATGCATGCGTGAGTGTACATGCATGCACAAGTGAATATGCACACGTATGCCGTATGCTTTTATGCATGCATGCATGCAGGTACATATTCATGTGTATGTACGCATCTATGTATGTATTTGGGTATGCGGTTGTGTGTGTGCGCATGTGCGAGTGTATGTGTAAATGTGTGAGATTGTGTTTGTGTCTGTGCGTGTGTGTATGTGCATGCGCATGTTTATGCCAGCGGGTGGAAAACCGCGCGTGTAGTCGTGCATATTTTTGTACTTGTTGTATCTCTCTCTGGGTTTCGGATGGGGGGGTTGGGGTGGGGGGGTGGGGGGGGTGTAATAACGTCAATGTGGACACCTTCTTGATTCTTGCGTTTGTAATATTCTGTGCGGTTGTTTCTCGGGGGTTTCGGGTGGGGGGGGTGGGGTGAAGCGGGGCCCTAGCGTCTATTCAAGATCAGCTAAGGCGTCTTCCCAAGACAGCTCACACGTTTTTTACGCTCGGCTTATTGCCAGTCCGCGCGGTGTCCACAGGGTTACTCTAGATACCTCTTGAGCCTTGAAGCGCGCATATAGATGTGCTCAATACTCATGCATGTACCTGGCTAGGTATTGGTTCAAAATAAAAACAAAGGCACAAATTCAAAAGCAATGAGTAGAGCACTACGCCTTGCTGTACTCAATCAGTATTAAGAGTATCTTCCTGTTTATCTACACAATGGCAAATCGGCAAAACTATGCGGAAGTCACGCAGTGGGTTCGCGAAAAATACTTCAAAAGAGACGGATTGCCCTATGGACATGTCTAGCGGAAGCAGCGGATTCGCTAATTTTCCGGTGTGGCCAATGGTGCGCGAAGCACGGTCTCTCCAAGCAAAATTGCCTGCTCTACCAGTGTGAAAAGTTCCTCTATCGACATGCAAGATTCAGAAATGTTGGTCGGACGAAAAACAGTTGACCGAATCACGAAATAAACGGACGCAGCGGATCTCCAAAGTTGCTCATTCAAACGAACAATGGACAAAATTCGAAGTTGGTATATTGATTTGCTCCATTCGGAGGTGTTCTGCTCAGCGGAAAGTTCATGAAGACAAATTGTTGTAGTATCTCTATGTGCATGAGTATCTATCTACATTAAATTGTAATTCCGACACTGTAGTGACATTATCTCTTTCTAGTAGAGTATATGCAATCTTGCGTAACAAGCTTGTGCACAGAAAAACTGTACAAGGCCTCTCATGCTGTGTTATCTTCATCTTCGGAAGTATACACTCACTCATAGCCAGCAGCTTGTTCTCCATGTTCCGGACGAAGAAGCTGAGGATCCACCATAGCCAGTGTTGCGTTGATCGTGCTCTGCTCGATCTTCATAACCTTTCCTCTTGTTCTGCCTCTGAATTTCCTTCCGTTGTTCCTTGCGTTTGATCTTCACCTGACTAGGTTTGTATTTGCTTCTCTCATTCCAAGTCATTTCAGAAGGTGCCAAATGAACAAGAATAGGATTGTGAGCATCACGATCTGTAGGTGCAACCATGAAGATATTGTGATCATTGTTCAAGCAAGTTTCATTAACCTCGAAGTCAAATTCACCCACATAGTTCATGGGATCTTCATCTTCAAACGTCCTCTGCATACTCCATACGTGCATGTCCCCACTCAACAGCCGAAAGCATACAACAACCACCTTTATCTGTTGTCTTCTTTACAAGTTCCTCAGTGTATGTTGCTGCTGTACTGCCATCCAGATGTGTTGCAAGAAAATCAAGTTCTCAATAACTGCAAGAAATGAAACGTTTGACCCTGACTGGTGGGCAAGTGCTATCAAAGTTCTTGCGTAGAGATTGTGTTGCAACATCCATCATCTTGTTGATCCAGTATTGTAAAAGACTGTGTTCGTATGTGGGGACTCCTGGTGATTTTGGCGTGGTGAGATAGCATGCCTTGTTCCCATCGCCTGCGATCACGTCAACTTGGTATCTGGCACATTCGAAAGCCATAATATAATGGCTAAACATTCACCACTCAGCTGGGAAGGTCCCAGGTTGAGGTCCAGCGGTGCACACTGAGCTCGGAAGGTCCCAGGTTGAGGTCCAGCGGTGCACACTGAGCTGGGAAGGTCCCAGGTTGAGGTCCAGCGCTGCACACTGAGCTCGGAAGGTCCCAGGTTGAGGTCCAGCGGTGCACACTGAGCTGGGAAGGTCCCAGGTTGAGGTCCAGCGGTGCACACTGAGCTTGGAAGGTCCCAGGTTGAGGTCCAGCGGTGCACACTGAGCTGGGAAGTTGGCGAAGAGCTTGGCGAAGAGTTGGCAAGGCGGAAGTGGAGGTGGAAGTTGATGCAGACATGGTGGAGGAGAAACTGGAGGAGGAGGAAGAGGACAGCTAGCGGAAGGTTCCATGGATGTACAAGTCTTTGAAGGAAATCAGGGCCAGAATGACACCCAATTCTGGTTTGGCGGGCTATTCTGGATTTTGGGGAGCAGCTGGACAACTGCTTTGGCGAATAGACCGGGATAAATCCTGACCGGAAGGCACAGGGGGGCACGGGGGGCCAACAAGGGGCAGTAAAGTATTCAAGACAATCATTCAAATGGAAGTCGGCCACCTGCGCGAAAACCCGCAAACTCTGCAACAGCAAGAAACACCTCAAGCAATCACCTAACGCCGCAAAAGGCTGATGGCCCTTCTTTTACCAGCAAACAATCAAGCCACCAGACGAAACGAAATGATAAGAAAGAAGCTAACTTGCTTGCTCCGACGGACCCAATTCTGGGTCCGGAAACCTTCTCAAAACCGGCTTCGCTCAAAAGGGCCTCCCTAGTATATATATATATATATACATATCCCCTCTGGTTATTTAACATAGCCATGGAAAATCTTTTATAAATGGAGGTTTTAATGGGAAAATCATCTATAAATTGGCAATTTTCCATGGCTATGTTAGTCATGACCAGAGGGTATATAGGTAATTTCCGCATGTTCATTGCGAGTGCTCGAGTGCTCCACCCCTTGAACTAATCATGATCAGCATGAGCAGATAAAACTGGCCAAAGATTTTGAGAAAGAAGCACATAAACAGACAAAAACAATATAAATCAATGGATTGGTTTAAGGGAAAACCTACAGGAAACCATAGATTTTCCCATTAAATATGGGGTTTTCCTGTAAAATGTCCCTTAAACCAATCCATTGAATAAACCAACACGAACACATCTGAGCAGGTCTGGTTGTGGTACTGCAGCGTCTACCCGGAGGTCTACCTCTTCTTAGGGCTGCATCCCAGCTAGTAATTGGGTAATATCTATATCTTGTACAACCCAGTTCTATAAGGAATATTATGGAATATCCCCACGTATCCATGGTATACTTATGATTACGTATATATATATATGACAATGCATATTGTATTATATATATATACTATATTATGGATTATAAACCATCACCTCAAATGCACGCCCAAGCCGATTCTTCCAATTGTTTCGCTAAACCTTAGTGCCCCGATGACCCAGGAGCCTCTGAGTCAAGACACGCCAGTGGTGGTGTCTCAAGCAGAGGCAAGGGGTGATGGGGCGTTTTTGTATGGAATCCTCAGCAAAAATGATGGTTTTAATGGGAAAATCATGGGAAAATCCCGGAAAATATCGAGTGATACCACTGACAGCACTGGTTTGGATGAGAATGGTGATATAATTGGGATAAACATCTGGGGATCCATGGAATAGTTGGAATAGTTGAGATAGAATGGGGACAACTTATCTGCAAAAACTATAACGACGTCACTGCGACGTCAGCAGAATGATGGGAATTGGATTGTGGTAAATTTTCACAAAATGGCCTAGGTTGATGGATGATTCTAATTCCAGATGATCCAGATGTGTCTGAAGGTGATACCCAGCTGATGATTTGTCAGCTTTTGCAGGGTGTTGGCTCGATTACCCCTTCGAGGATTTCCCAGCCACGTTTGATGACAGTACTTCGTAGACTTCAGACAGTTCACCATGCTGACAAGATTAATTGATGTTGATATATGTTGATTGCGTACGCATTCGGACTCGGTTGATATCCCAAGTTCCAGAGAAATCTGTTTCGGCGGTCCAGGTTTTAGACGTTCGAACCTGCCGAACCACAGTCGGGGTCAAACCTTCAAAGTTGGATTCGAATCCCTAGGGCCCGTCATGTTGGTGTCATGTTGGTGTCATTGTTCAAATCCTTACTGGTTGATGGTTTGGAACATGTGTTATTATTTCCATAATATATGGGATAATCCTTCCAATTGACTAATATTTTTCAGAGGGTTAGGTATACCACCAACCAGAAATTTAATTGCTTTCTGTTGCTGTCAAGTTGGCCCCCTTTTGTCAGCAGCATGTTGGTTGGCCCACAGACTGTTTGTTGCTGAAGCGCAAAATATGCTGCGAAGAAATTGTCATGTTTCCTGTGGCTGGTATCCCCCTTGCAGCACCCCGAAGATCCGGTTGAAAAAATCCACACGTTTTGGAACATGATAATGCTAATATTGATCATTGGTGATGAAAACTAAACTAAAAAAACAGATAGAAGGAAACAGTGTGACAATAATTAGTAATGATGATAATGAAAGTGATGATAATGAAAGTGATGATAATGAAAGCGATGCTATGTGATGTTGGCGATGGTTTATCCACCTGCCATTTTTGGGATATACCCTCTGGCTATTTAACGCTTTGCGAAGTGGAACATAACCATTTTAAGAACGGTAAATCATCGGCCGTGTATCATCTATTTTCATGGCCCTTGGATGGCCATGGCTACTATAGTTATGTTAAATCATCAAAGGACAAACCGTAAGGAATGCATTGTTGTCATCATCAATTATCCTGATCAGTACTATCATTTTGAGAAGGAAATTCTACAAGTGTCCCCAAATGGTTGATACAGTAGTTGGTCGAAAACTCCCCATTCTTGTTACCCTCCAAAAATTAAACATGCGAAAATCCCCTAGCCATATGGAGGTTTCCTAAGTCATGGGGGCACCCCCAAATCATGAATTTTAACCGGATTTGGGGATCCACCATTTATGGAAACTCCCTAATATAGTTCGGTGATTTTCCCATCTAGTTCAATGCCCATTGCTGGTTCGTGGGTTTCCCAGCCCGCCATCCTCAGCATCCTCCATAAGGCGGTTTCTCCCTCAGTTATGTTTGATGGTTTATACCTTCTAGTGGTTTCACGTAGCTATGGAAAATCAACATGTTTAGTAGGTGAAACATTATCTATATATAAATGGTTTAATAGCTATCATCTATAAATGTTTAATAGGTGAGCCATCTTTCTGGTGGTTTAACGTAGCTATAAATGGGCCATGTTCCATAGCTATGTAAAATAACCAGAGGGTAACCCCCCTGAGTACCTGAGTGATATATCTACCATAAAGCCAGCAGTTATTTCAGTGAACTAAAGCACCTCGTATCACAGCATACATAATCTGGTTTGTGGTTTGGAACATTATTTTTTTGACTTTCCATTCAGTTGGGAATAATCATCCCAACTGACGAACTCATATTTTTCAGAGGGGTAGGTATACCACCAACCAGTAATAATTATGTATGTATGTAATTGTATGCGTATATATATATATGTGTTAAATATTATTAAATCATTATTCACACATGTCACAATTTGCCATGTATATATAGAGAGAGAGATATACATATATATATATATATATTTATATATACACACACATATATATATATACATATATATATATATATGTATATATGATTTATTGCTAATTCATTGATGAATATAAAACCACCATGTATGATCACAAATATATAACAATGTATATATATATATACACAAAAAAAAAACATATAGACCCGCATGTAAGATATAATTAACTTTAATCCCGTAGTTTTAATCCCATAGTGATAGGCAATAATCCATACATAGTTCACTTGTCAATAATATGACTACGTGATGGGATTGATCCGTAGTAAACCTAGTTATCATATGTTATCATCATGTGGTAACATGTTATAATTACATTGTTTTTTGTATATAACTTTGTTTATATATGTATCCACTATGCAGTCATATCACCATATATAATAGTAATAATAATAGTAACAATAATAATAATAAATGATTACATTACCATCACCATATATAATCATATTTTTATATATGATATCACCAGAAACCAATAAACAGGTTGCCGAGGCGGTGGAGGACATGCGCGCACAGGGCGCGTCGGTGCTGAAGCAAGGTGCAGTTTTTTGCTAAAATGCTGGGAAGATGCTGGGAAAACGAGGGAAAACCATGGAAAAATGTGGGAAAAAACTAGGGAACATGATATAATGTTGGAAAACGACGGAAAGGTGGAAACATGTGGAAAAGAAGTTGTTTTTCGGGGGAAAAAATTGGGGAAGAAGAGGAAAAGGCATGGAAAGTGAACACGGAAATCACGAAGAATGAAAGAATATATTTTACAAAAGCATTGTGTTGGATCCCATTGTTCAATTTTGTGAAGTGTTTTTGATTTGAATTGTGGATGCCAATAAGATGTGGAAGCACGAAGTGCAGTTGTATCAGTCCAAAAATCGTCGGTGTTTGATGAGGCGAGGTGTTGAATTCCATACCACCTAGACCCACCAGAAGGCAAAGGCGGCCGTGGAAAATATGTGTTCAATTTCATAGGCTACCCTCTACTTATTTAACATATCCATGGGAAATGACCCATTTATAGATGGTTTACCTATTGAAAATGGTGATTTTCCATGGCTATGTTAAATAACCAGAGGGAATGGCAAAGGAGTCATCGTTTCAGTGCTATGCCCATGGTTATTTACCTACCAGCTATTCGCAAGCTTCAGGGGGCATCCGATCTCAGATAGTTTCATGATAACCAGATCTCAGATATCGGGATATCAACCAACTACAGGATCAAATATCATTGAGATATCCCAATAAAATATGATCAACCAATTATCAACCAACTATCAAATAACCAAATACCAACCAATCGCATCAAGAGTTTCCATGATTTTTTGGGTGAAGGCGCCGAGGCAGCTCACGCGGCACGGCAGAAGGCGGAGGCGCCCATGGTTAGATGTCTGGGTGTCGCTGGGAAATGTCCGAACGAACGATGGAGCTTGATTTTTGTTGGCGTTGAACCCCCAACTTTACATGAGTTTATCATGAGTTTATCATAGTTTATCATCGTTGATCCACATTCCCAGACAAGACTCACCTTCGCCGCTTCGCCCCAAGGCGATTCGGAAGGCAGGCGCAGACATTGCGCATAGCTCGGCGGAGTTCTTTCATCATGGCACTGAGGCAGACTTGTCAGATGGGGTGATGGTGATGGTGAGATCCGGTGTCATCACATGGCTGGAAACTGCCGGCTGCCGGAGCCAAATGGAGGTGTTACCCTCTGGTAATTTAACAGTTTGCTATTGAAAATGGCCATTGAAATAGTGAGTTTTCCCATGAAAAATTGTGATTTTCCATGGCTTTTTGTATGTTTACCAGAGGGTATCATAAATGGTGGATTTTCCAGCCATGGATGACGGGAGCTTATGGCTTTGTCATATGGCAGCCCGAAATCCAGTGGTTGCCTTGGATGCCCGTGGCATCCCATGGTGAAATGGGCGGTATACGCCCAGAAATCCTGGTGAAATATGAGGGAAATGGATGGAAATTGAACTCAGGGCTGACGCTTGCCCTGTGGTAGTGTGAGATGTAACGGATAAGAATCAGGTTAAATGGCGCTTAACCAATCAAGGATTCAAAAAATAAGGCATGTCCTTGCCTTGCTAGCAATCTATCGCAATCTAAACATGCCTGGCTGGAAACCCATATTGGGGTTGCCAGGCAAGACAGGTTAGATAGATTGCGGGAGAAGGGTCGTTCAGTGGGGTTATACAACAACAAGTTTCTAATGGGAATAGTTAAAGGAGCAATGTGGACAGCTATGGTCAAGATTAAATTGCACACATTGCATTATAAATATGAATATAAGTTTAATTATCAATTAGAATTAAACATATATAGTATACAGTATACACATGTATAGTTATATATATATATACACAATTACATCATAAATGTAGTCATCGCCTGTTCTGCTCATCGGAGAGCCACAGTTCATCGCACACAGTTCCTTGTCGTCGGGACTCGGAAAAGCCATCGGAATCGGTATGGGATGCGACTTTTCTATCTTTTTGTTGGGGGGTACATGGTGGTGCCCCATAGTTAGCTAAGTTGGTTTATAACTCCCATTTCACTATGGTTTATGGCAGATATAACTATAGTTAATGGGGTTTATAAACCAACTTATAACTGGGGATACCATCCTGTATCTTTCTACCATTTCTATCTGTTGCAGCATGGTCAGCTCCAAGGTGGCGCGCGCCAATTGGCAGCACGGCGCCGAGGCCTGCCAGCGGGGCCTGCACGAGGCCGGGATGAGGGATGTGGGAAGAACGGTTGACATATGGCGAAATGGGTCAAAAGAATGGATGGTGGATGGTGAATGGTTGGTGAATGGTTGGTTAATGGTTGGTTAATGGATGGATAATGGTTGGTTAGTGGATGGTTAATGGATGGTTAATGGTTGGTTAATGGATTGTTATTTGCTAGAATAGTTGGTGAATACCCAAACGTTACCCCAGAAGAGTTGGTTGATGGCTATTCCCCCAGTGAGTCATGGTAATACCCTCTGGTAAACTAACATAACTATGGAAAATCACCATTTTTAATGGGAAAACTCACTATAAATGGCCATTTTCAATAGCAAACTGTAAACGTTTACCAGGCCGGGTAGTTCATATTGACCCATCCCCACTGGGTCAACCGACTGGTTCGATACGAAAGATTCACCATGTATACTGTACACAGGAATGGTAATTTTTTACGTGAATAATGTGAAGAAAAATCATGGGAATGTAATCCCATCCCCCTAATTTGAAACACCCAACCAGAACCCATGGTGGATGTAGGGGAGGATGAAGTCACATATTGGGGGGGAGAGGCTTCTCACTGTGGGAATACACTTGACATAAACAGTATTCCCACTGTGGGAATATTTTGGGAATTTGGGAATATAATGTTGGTTGGTGGTTTGGAACATGAATTTATTTTCCCCAATAGTTGGGATGATGATCCAATCTGATTTTCATATTTTTCAGAGGGGTGGCTCAACCACCAATTAGAATGGGATACAACCTACCCCATGCCCATGACGCCCCAATGCTTCGTTCTTGGGATCACCTTTCCCAAAAAACAATGTTCGATGACACCGGAAGGGTGCCCAATAAAATTGAGCTATGACAAAAGACCTGTCCCATCCCATGAAAATACTGATTGGATGATTGGTTAGTAAATAATAGTACATATTCCTGATGAAATTGGTTACAATCCCAATTCAACCAGGTAGTATCACCTCCTACAAAAAAAACTACCAACAGGGGTATGTTCCAGGTGATTTTCGCTACCAAACTATCTGGAACATAATTATTTGTAAACATGTGTGGGGTTCCAGTTACGTACCGCCGCATGCTAAACCCAATCTGTTCATTATTGGACTTTCAGAAAAAATAAATCAAAACCCACGAGAATGTTTTTTGTTTCCAAAGTTTAGCTGTAGAAGTATGTGCCATCTGTCAGAATCATTATATAATGCAAGACTATATATATATGATTATATATGTATATATAGATAGATGATGTACCTACAAAAACGATGACTCCCACTTGTTTGTACAGTACACCATACTTAGATGAGCCATGGAGTTAGTTAATTAGTCAACTAATTGGTAAATGGATTATACTTAGGATATAGCGGTGTAGCCACCCTGTCCATCGCAGGCCTCTGAAGCGTGGCGCCAGTCGGCTCCCTACCTGGACAAGGCGCGTGAACTGCGGGATACAATGTTTTTTTGTTTTTTTACTTGTTCTAATGGGTTACTGAAAATCAAGTGTTTCCTTTTAGATATTCTCCAATATATCAGATGCGTGTGCTTGAAAATGTGAAATTGACCAGCAAGTTATCTGCATAGTTTGAAACAACCCCAGATACAATCAGAAATCGATTTTCTTCTGGTTGAATCCACATTTTTACAGCTTGATATGTTTAGAGAATATGTCAGGTTAGGAGTGCAATCCACTGCTGGATAGTACTACATCATGAAAGTGGGAGAGGGTTTCAGCAACATGGTTTGATAATATGTGTTCGTACGTATGCTTTGATCGGTGTTTGCATGTTTTTTTTTAATAAGGCATGAACTTGATGTTTGACTTTCCCATTGATAAACGTTTTGGCGGGAACTGCGCATCACGTGGAGTATTTCGTTTGTGGGGGGGTGATTAAAATCCAGGAATGGAGAGAAGCAAGTAGAAGATGGAGACAAGCAACAACAGAGGGAGGGTGATGAGAATGAGCGGAAAGGGGAATGGGATACAAGCACTGTAAAAAGCAAACATGGGGGATAGCACCCGGTACAAGAAACACACACTAAGAACTAACCAACGAAAATGAGGCAAACGACTCACAACCCAAAATAGGATTGGTTTCCTAAACTCAAAATCACTTCAGCAGGGAGGGTTTCCCAACTGAAGGTCTGGGAAAACATGTGAAAACCATCTATATATTTTGGGGGTTCCGTAAATGGGGGTACCCGAAAATGGATGGTTTATAATTGGGGGTACCCCTATTTCAGGAAACCTCCATATATATATATATAAATAAATAAATATATAATATATGATAATATTCACCAATCAGCCCTACACAAGTCACGTCAAGTTGTGACATGCTTTAGATCCCAGCGCGAAAGGGCATCTTGCTGACCAACGTCATCATGGCCATGTGCATTGGAGGCAGCCTTCCACTTACCTGGTGACCAGGGTGATTTTACCATGAATTTGGGCTTGGGTTGCCCATCTCACAGTTCCGGCTAAATGATAAATAGACAAAAACACGACAATATAATTGATATAACCCACAGACGCCCTGTGTTGCCCAGACATTTTATATACTCGTACCAATGAAAATGATCTAAGAAACAACCGCCTCTCTTGTGGGGCATTTGCATGCTCAAGTTCTGATAAGTTCTGTCGGGGTTTGGCACTGGGGATGGGTCAAGTTACCTATGAAGATTACCATATGACTAGGGGAAGAACCATCCATTCTCAAGCTGTTTTAGGGTAGGGCACCATGGTTTTGACTCGTAGCCAAGTCACGAACTGTTCATAACCTGAGCCACCAAGGCAGAGGCGGGATAACCAGTAGGAATGTGGTGATCACGTTATTCCAAGGAACTAGAACCATGAATAATGAGAAGTATCAACGGCATGACGGCACATTGCTCCATTGCGAAACCTCAGTCACCATCATTCCTAGAATTGGTTTAAGGGAAAATCCCAGGAAAATCCCCTGAACAGCTGGTAAAATCCATGGTTTCCTGTCGAGTTTCCGTAAAAAATCCACCCGAATCAGGTTTTGTGGTCATCGGCACCATGCTGGTGTGCACACCCTTGAAGCCCGAGCACACCCACCATGGTGCTGTGGTGGACCGCATGTTCTGGGTGACACAGGCGCAGTGCCTGCCTGGCGTGGCTACCCCCAATGCCCAAGGGATGGCCATCATTGGTTCCATCAAAATCTGGCAGGCAATGTTGGTAAAGCAATGTCATAAACGGCCCATATAAATTGATGGTTGGTGGTTTCGAACATGAAGTTTAGTTTTCCATATATTGGGAATAGTAACCCCAACTGACGAACTCATATTTTTCAGAGGGGTTGAAACTACCAACCAGAAATGGATGGTTTCAATCACACCCATAGATTGCTGTTCATTGTTTTTCAGCTAGGGATATCACCATCCAAAAAAACAGGATTGACGTTCGCCGCAGCAGAGATGGGACATCATGCAGAGTGATGGCTGGTGGCGCGATTCGTATCAGTATCACTATGTTTACTCGGTGAATGTTATTTCAATCATCTTGAAATGGGAGACTTGCCAGGCTGCCAGGTTTGTTTTCCTAAGGTTTTTACTCAGGGTTGATGAGAGTTCGAATCTCCACCGGTTGGTGGTTGAAATGTCGCCCAAGTCTTGGCGTGTCATGGGTGTTTTTCGATGTGCAACAAGGGCGTCTACCTCATTGCCTTCAGCATTCCCGCCCTAGTCGCCACAGTGCAGTGGGGATGCTCAAAGCCTTGGGGATTTGGGAAGTTGGGTCCACAGCTTGGTACAGTAGATCTTAGTCTGGTCGAGCCAGCAAAATGTCTGATGTAATCTTCATGGTATCTGGGCGTGGGTATCTGGTTGGTGGTTTGGAACATGGCTGTTATTTTCCCATATATTGGGAATAATCATCCCAACTGACTCATATTTTTCAGGGGGGTTGAAACCACCAACCAGGTATTGGTTTGGTTGGACATTGCGGACGAAGCGGGAATAGCACATGGAGATAGATGGGTTGTGATGGGTTTCTGTACATCCAATAGCATTAGCTGATGTGTGGTCAGTTTGAAGCATCGAATATGGATGATGTACCTGATTTATATGTTTTAGATGGATCAAAGTCAACCAGTCCCTGTCTTTTCGTGTTGTATTTTAACATAGGCGATGTGTTCAACATTCCTTAGGAAACATTTGCAAAGAGCAACAAAGCATGGTTTCTTCATGTTTCTTTTCTGCCATAGGATCAGCTGCCAGTTCGTGGGCGTCTGACCCCATCTTGATGCTGCTAGTCCTTCTTCTATGGGACAAAATAAACCTGAAACAATAACAAACCATCAGAGTTTGAAGTGGCTTTATGATGAATCAGTATTAACGATGCTGATTTCCAATCTGAGTCCCTGAAAATGATCCGCGGTCTCAGTTGCAGTCACGTCAGCCAGCCATAGGTGCGGAGTGCGTCGCAACGGCTTCGAGAATTGGCCCGCGTGGATGCGTGCCGAGATTTGGTTGGGCATTCTGCATCTTGGCAGCGTGGAGGATCCTGTTGATTGGTTGAGGGGGTTAGACTACCCTCTGGTAAACTAACATAGCGAACTGGAAAATCACCATGCTATTAATGGGATCATCTATTTCTGTGGGCCATGTTCAATAGCTATGTGAAATTACCAGAGGGTATCTTTTACTAAGTTTTCATGGGGTTATGACCCATGGGAATCCTTACTCACCAGTATACAGGGATGGGATACGGGGTATTGTTCATGGCTCACATTATCGTTTTGCACCAAAACCCAAGTTTTCTTACATAAAAAACCTGAGGTCTTACACTGAAACCTTTTCTGGTGCAACGGCTATGGTTCTTGCTAAGTTCTTACTGAACTTCCGCAGAATACAATGGATTATTTGTAGACGCAGTTCAAGTCATACGAATCTATGGAAAAAGTAGGAGATAGATACAGTAGTAGGGGAAACGGGTGCAATGAATGTTCAGTGCGTTTTTCTCGCAAGCACAAACTCTGTTCAACCAAAAAATGCAACGTACAAAAGATACAGGTGTAAAACCCTAAATAATCATTTCAGAATATTGAGTTTGTAAGTGCAAACCGATAGATGAATGCCTCAGCGACTCAGCGGCATTAAACCCGAGGTTTCCCCACAAAACATCACAAAACCCTAACCCGAGCTATGATAACACGAGGTTTACGGCGAAATCCAGAAAAGGGAAAAAAACAGGTTTGGGTATGGATGGACTAACTAGAATCATGTATTTATATAATCTATATATATACAGATACACTATTGTTTTACATATATACACATAAAGGATATATCATCCCCATGGATTGATTCAGATATGTGACATGGAAAATAGAATTGTAAAATTCATAGGGCAACAACGCAACCAACTAAGGTTCAAATTGGGTCAGCCATTCCATCCGTTTCCATCCTATCAACTTAAAAAGTCCATTCCAGCCCGAGAAGTTGCTTGTGGAGATTTCAATTTTGACCCCCAAGTCTCAAAAAAAGGTGGTGCCTTCCGACTCCCGGTATCTCCCAGTTATGTATGTGTGTTGGTTTATAACCCCATGAAGCATACCGGTATCTCCCAGTTGTGTATCTGTGTTGGTTTATAACCCCATGAAGTATACCGGTATCTCCCAGTTATGTATGTGTGTTGGTTTATAACCGCATGAAGTATACCGGCATCTCCCAGTTGTGTGTGTGTGTGTTGGTTTATAACCCCATGAAGTATACCGGTATCTCCCAGTTATGTATGTGTGTTGGTTTATAACCCCATGAAGTATACCGGTATCTCCCAGTTATGTATGTGTGTTGGTTTATAACCCCATGAAGTATAGTCTTATCTACCATAAACCATAGTTAACCTATTTTTGTGAACCAAGTTAGCTATTGTTTGGGTGCGCCTTGTTTCACCTCGGGCTCACGTCAGCAGCCCACCCAGGAAATTTCAGCTGGGTCGAGCAGTCTTTTTCATTGGCGTAGCATGGCACGGGCAGTCGGGTCGGGCAAGGCATTGAGCATTGAGAGATGCAGTAGCTTTGCTTATGCTTTCTTTGGTGGGTTCTTAAAATGGGGAACCTCAAAATCATCCAAAATTGGTTATTATCAATGGTACCCATATTTTAGGAACCCCTCTGTTTGCGGATTGAAGCATTTTCAGGACATTGCACTTTCTAGCTTGAATATACAGCACGTTTGTGTTTTTTCCTGTGCCAAGCGAGTGGTACAATCCACGTTTGTTCTCAAGGTCGGACGCATGGTCCATTCTAAGGGATAGCAGACATGGTAGCAACAAATTCTGCGACACTGCTGCTTGCCCGCCGCCGTCAGAGTGATACGGGCCGTTGTAGAAGTACATGCTGCCAGTTTCTTGTGTGGCACACAACCAACAAACATAAACATAGAGCTGCAACTTTGGGATCCTTTTTGTGAAAAGAATCCCAGCCTCCCCAAGTCTTGTGTTGAACAGCCAGACCAACAAGGACCTTTTGTAGGAATATGTTGTTAAGTTGGATATCCCCTATATATCGTTCTGAACGGCGATGGGGCATGCGGACATCTTCTGAGGATATTTTGTCATATGTTGTCCCAAGTCGGAATCCCTGTTTCCAACTCTTCAGGTGAAAAAAAGGTGCCCAGTGAATTCGCTTAAGGGCCATGGCATCGGCACAGCTTGAACACTCAAACCTGGTCCAGCATCAAGTCGGCCTCATGGAGCAGTTTCGCGAATTTTGGATGGAAAACCATCTCTGTGACGTTGTGCTGAAGAGCAATGATGGTGCAGAGCACAGTGCCCACGCTGCTGTGCTATCGGCCGCCAGCACTTTTTTCAAAAAGTTGCTTGGCGGATCCTTTGTGGAAGCAAACCAGGTACAACGGGGACAGCCAGTGGAAATCACTGCTTCTAATGCAGCTGTATCTGCTTTGCTTGACTATATCTATGGAGGGCAGCCAGAGGTGAATTTAGATGTTGGTCTTGAACTCCTACGACTGGCGGAAGCCTACGGCTTGCCAAAGTTAGCAGGTGCGATTGAAACAGGTTTCCGTTTGTCACTGGACAGCAATTCTGCCCTGCAGGTCTTACTAGAAGCACCCGGCTTGTATGCTTTCAAGGCTGCATGTGAAGAGAAGGTTGCTGCAGATTTTGAGGCTTGCAGCCAACACCCAAAGTTTGGGGAGCTGAGTGCCAGTCAGCTGACCCGTATTTTGAAACGAGAAGATTTGGGTGTGTCTCGAGAGGAGACGGTGTTGAAGACCATATTTCAGTGGCTCAGAGTCTCTCAGGACAGGAATGGTTTGTTGGGAATGCTGTTGCAACTGGTGGATTTCCAATCAATTTCAGTTGAGAATTTGCTCCGGCTTGGCCGCATGAAGCAATCCGGTCCAAACGCGGACGAACTACACAGAGAAGTTGATGAAGCTTTGCGAATTCGGCAACGAAAGAGAACCCAAAGTCCACAGAACTTTCAACCAAAGAGGCGTTGTTTGCGACATTGGACACCAGATTTGGGTGCCAGCTCCGAAGCTTTGGGACGAGAAGTGCTTCCTAGACCATGTTTCTCCTTGAGATGGCACGAAGGTTCCATTTATGCCATGGACTTCGACGGTAACATCCTGTGTTGGAAGCCAGGTGACTCATCTGCACGACGAGTTGTGGGTGAAGGCGCCAGAGTGAATGGAATCAATGGCCTGGAGCGCGGTCCTGAATTTAGCATGGCCATTTCGCCAACCGGGGAGATTTTTGTCTCGGATTACGACAACAGGAGGTTGCTTAGTTTTCACAACGGCTCTGGACGGATAGTGCTTGGCGATGTCAATTGTGGGCGCCTGTTTTGCTCGCAAAGTGGAGTGCTTTATATGCTGGGCAATGGGGAAGTTGTGCAGAAGTTGGTGGGTTCTACACTTCAGACAGTGATTGGCCGCGAGAGTCTTCCAGCTGACTTCTGCTGGGCCATCGACATGTTTGTCACCAAGGAAGAGGTGATATACCTCTTGGATTATGAGGAGAATCGCATTCTGCGCATCAATCCAGCTGAGTCCCTGAAAGCTGTTGTGGTGGGACAAACCGAGCACGACTCAAACCTCCAGAACCTGTTTGTAACTGAAGGCGGGACAATCTATGTGTCTGATTGGGCCATTCAGAAGGTGCTGGCCTTCCGTCCAGGGTACACAGGCTCCACTGAAGTCTTGCATTTTCCGGGGACGTGGCACCCAAACGAAGTTCTGGTTCAGGGCAGGTCGCTGTTTGTGAGCATTGAGGACGATGACCAAGGCGTGAAGGGCATCTATGAATATGTGCTGCCTCCAGAGCTTAACCTTGAGTAAACAAAAATTAGAGCGAGCATTCCATGAACTCCTAGGTTAGCCCAAAAAACCATGAAACAAACATGTTTTTCCAGTTCCGTGCCATCTCTTGGGAGTGCCCCAGATATATTTTGGATTAATTTGGTTTGTTGACCATGTAACTATAGATACAATCACCACAAACTAACATCCACAAACCATCATAAACCCTATTTGTTTGCTAGTGAACTAAAAAAAAACGTCGTTTGACGCTGCTGAGGCAGGCTTCTACATCTTTCCAGTGATGGACAACTTTGGGCTGATGGCCAAAGCCACTGTGATGCACGGGATTTTCCGAGTTGGGAGTTCCGTCCGAGTTGGGACCCGTTTATTGATATTTACATGGTATTTCAAGAAGAACGTATTCTTCAAAATGAGCTTTTCGTTGAAATTAGACCATTGTCATGCCATACAATGTATTTACTATTGGAGTCTCCAGTTGTTGAGCCAAGTATTTCGTGACTATGTCGCCCTAGTAGGGTTGGTGACTCACGGGTGACTAAAAAAGCGTTGCGACATCTAAGTTGCGACGTCACAAAGTAAATGATGGTGAATGTAAGGGTAACTATATATATATATCTCAAAATGACATAAGATGACTTTTATTTTTGTATGTGTTGTTTTTTTCATGTATCTAGAAACCTTCACCAGTTCTTGAGGACACTATGATTCATAAGGGTTTGAGTAACCCACCATTCATGGAAAAGTGTCCTAGGAATACTGTAGGTTTTTCGCACGCAATTTTTCTGGAGAGTAATGCCGAGACTGACCCAGGATCATCCGTGGCTTGTTTCTTTTGTGGATCTTTCAAGGACGTTTGACCTAGGGCCATAGCAGGGGTTGCGAGGATGCCCTTTTTAAGACTCTGTTTGGCTTTACAATCATTTGACCAATCTTTTGGCGGATTGGCCACGCATTTTCAGGCCAAAGCACCAGATATACTGGTGCTTTCGCTCCTTTAACGATGTTCAACCATAGTAACCATAGCCCAGATGCCCCCTTTTGTGCTGGAAGAGTTACTGCCCCATTTGCCCTAAAAATTGCCCAGTTTTGTAGGTAAATATACCAGCACCATGGAGCATCTAGGGGATGATCCCCCCAGGGGATCGCCAGGTGGAGACTTGGCCCAGGGTCTTGTCCTACTTTCTAGGCGCGCCAGGGCATGGTTTTTCGGGTACGCCTGGCGATATTTACTGGGCATGTATAATCAATTGAATGATACTTCATGTAGATGCACAACTACATATTATATATATATATAATTATATATATGAATGATTTGTGTTGGTCTGAAAATGGTTCGTATACCCTTCAAATGCGGAATTTATATGGAGAAACCATATGTGTCTTTGAAACTTAGATGTTTTGGGAGGTCGCCTATTTTCTGACAAACCCATTTGACCAAGTGCTTGCATTTTTTCTGGGCAGGCTGGGCAGGTATTGTTGTACATTCACAGATGAGAACCCCAAAAAGGCCAAAGAGGAGAAAAACCCAAAGCAAAGGACCTGAAGAATCGTTCAGATGACCTACATGGTTTTCTTGAAAGCCTGTGAGCCAGGGGTTTCCCTCAGGATGCACTAAGTCACTGAATATGGATGATGGTTTCAAGATGTCATTCCAGGAGTCATTCCACTCGGACAGGCTTAGCTTTATGCCACTGTTGTTGAATGCCACTGTAGTTGAATCCCCACCAGATATCTAGATGCTGCTTTCAAATAGTTTCTGCATTCCGAACTCAAAGTTTTCCCATCCGTTTTGTTTTTCGATCTGGAAAGCAAATTCAGGTAGTACCCAGTACACGTAAAAGATATATACTTCAACCCATCACTTGGGTAGAACGAGTGCAATTGGTTCATATTGGTTGATGTTCGTAGGCTGGTACTATGATAATTGGTTCATTTCAATATTGGTTCGTATTGGTTCATCAACCATTATTCATATTTAAGCAGGTATTATGTTCCGTCCCTATTCGATAATTCAAATTGACGGTTCTTAACATTGCTTGAAACCTTGAAACCATCGGTTTTTCTCAGCTTTTCCACTGTCCCATGTGATGATATTCCCCTATCACGGATGCTCAATGAACCGTCAAAGATAGGCAACAAATCAACATAAAAAGGGCAATAATAATTGAATATAGCCTATAGCCTATAGCTATTGTTATCGTACCCAACATATCGGTGATCAGATACTATGATATAGATGTTATAAGGATATAATTATATACCTGATAGACTGATAGATCACCTGATTGAAACGATGATATGATGATATAATGATAATGGTCAGTGTCCGGATTTGTTTGGATATAATTTGATATAATGATATACCTAATAGGATCATATCCTGACATTGATATCCTCAAAAACCATCAACACAAAACGGGCCGCTGCTGCAGGTGTGGTCTCCTTGCTTTCGGGCACCTTTCTGCTGATCTTTGACGTGGTCCTTTCCGTGCATCTCGCTGGGAACCGGATCAGAAGTGGTTAGGAACTGGGGGTTATAACTTACCCTCTGGTAAACTAACATAGCTATGGAAAATTACCATTCTTAATAGGTAGCTCAACTATAAATAGGCCAATTTCCAGTTTCCATATAACTTACTTATAACTGGTTGTAACTGGGGTATAATATATGGTTATTGGTAAACGATTACATAACTATGGAAAATCACCATAACTATCATATATATATATATAACTGGTTGATTGAAGTTGGTGGTTTGGAACCATGGAATTTTATGACTTTCCATATATTGGGAATAATAATCCCAACTGACTTTCATATTTTTCAGAGGTGTTGAAACCACCAACCAGATAACATCTTTTAAACCATCTAGAAATGGGATAATGTCAACCCTGGATTAATAAACCCCGAACGGCTGTTTAATTGGGAAGGTACCATAAAGAAAAGTATCAAATTATGACTGTTGGGGGAATACCGCCCTAATTAATAAACCATGGTTTATTAATCTGGGGTTGACATTAACCCCTCTATAAATGGGGACTTACTCACTAAGGTTTTTATCATGTACTTAACACTTACAAAAAAGGGGAGAATCCTCCAAGTACCAAAATTCTGGTTTACCCAATTTAGTCCCCGTGGGGGATGCACAGCACGCTGGTTAGTTGAGCAAACCCTATGTGTTGCGCTTGATGTTGAATGATGAGAAATTATCCATGTTGATGATGGGTGATATTGAAGCGTAGATTCCCAAATGCCCATTGCGGGTCGATAAATAGAGGGGTCTCCGGTATCGGATAGACCAGGGTTCCTGGTATGCCAAGTGACCGAAGATGTGGACCCAACTCTACATCCAAACGTTTGGGACTCTTCTGACATCAAACTGAGCTCATGCGTCACTGATTTTCAGAAGATCAGTGACTAGCTTAGTTACAGAAGATAACTCAAGGCTGCAGAAGTATCATTTTCTATTGGCTTGTTGGGTGGCTCTTGTTGGTGGGCATCAGCATGTCAGCACGTTTCACAAATTGGTTTCCATGATTTGAGTGTGGGTAAACCATGGTCCCAGCAGCGGCTAGATTCATGTGATTCTTACCAAATCTTATCGCCGACGAAGCTCCTGAGGTATGTTCGGCAAGCGATGTACGGAAAGGTTGAGCAGACCGAGTCGGCATCGTGAGGGAAGACGCGAACACGTTGGGAAGGGGTCGAGCTTGACATTTGCATTGCAGCGAAATCAAGGGGGCAAGAGGTTCAAGAGATCACATCAGGGAGATTGTTCCTAAAAAATCCAAAAAGTGATGTCATAGCTATCAAAATAGGACCCCCAGCATAACAAACGGGGGGTTAATGTTTAAAAAAAAACATAGAAATCATGGATAAAAACCCACAAAAATCCTGCGTTAACATTAGAACAGTAGAAGTATTATTCTGGGTGTGTTGCAAGTCCAATTTTCACTGTTTGAGTACTGCAAAGATGTAGAAAAAGCTGGCCGAAATAGGGAGCTCCACCCAATTCACAACTGCCAATGTTTCACTTTATAGAACGAAAAACGACCATTGCTTGAGAAGCGGCTGACAGGTCCCGGATTGGGCAACCAAACGTGGATTCATTGGGTTTCGTTGGCTGAAAATGGATGTGTCTGAAAAATGTATATATCATGATATATCATGATGATATCCAAAAATTGCGTCCCTTTTACAGGGAAAACATGGAAAAATGATGGAAAATGATGATTAGCCCGTGGATTTTAGGGGGAAACTATTTTTAGGAAGGTCATCGTGGCGTCCTCTGCTGGGAAATCCACGAAGTAAATCTTAACATATCTCAACTAAATAGTGCCCCCCCCAGTTACAAGTTGATTTATAATCCCCTTTAGCATCCTTTAACTATACAAAAAAAATGTTCCCCTAATCAACCAACTAGTTATTGGACTTATTTGCACCAACTTAGCCAATGATTAGGGGCCCCATCCTGTAACTAAATGGAGGTGTTTTTCAAGGACAATCATCGAACTATGTCTGGTATGTTGTCCGTTACCATGATTACCAGACGCTAGAACTATCTGAGAACTCCGGATGTCCTGTTCAAAGTACTGGAATGAATTTCAACCCATTCCCCCACATGGTTGATAGTTGAGGAAGGTTTATTATGACCATGTGTGGGCTAATGTTGTATCCATTTATATCATTCTATATCCCATTTTTGTATATATTTTTGTGACTTGTTGGTCGCAAGCTGTTGTTGGCTGTTTGACCCGGCTGCCGGTTTTTTCACAGGTCATCTTTATGGGAAATCCACCAGAAACATACATTTTGATTGTTAGAGTGGGATGAATCCTTCTGAAAAAAAAAAAAGCAAAGTGGTTGCGGAAAAACATGGATAGCAAGCCACAGTCCCTTAGCTCACTTAAGCTGGGTTGGCTATGGGATTCCAGGAAATCTGTTCTGTTTTAGCATCGTTTCTAGGGGTTTTCTGTGGGTTTTCTATCCCAGCGGGCTCTTTTCCACCCAAACGGCCCAGACCGCGTCAGTCTTTGAGTCACTGGGAAGTCTTCCAACCCTGCCAAAACCCAACGGTAATATTGAACTGGCTGGAAATAGTCATTAAGTCATTCTAATATAAAGGGAACAACAGTGACTAGAATCATGGAACATAGTGGAAACGAGAGCCATCTGTGTGTTCTTCTTATTTACTGAATCAAGAGAACAAATATATAAGGATCGAGCAAATGTACAGTGATACAGCTATGGGTTTAAACCTCTGATACCATCTGAATGGGAGGACATCCAGAAGAACCCATATCCATCATGTGTATTTTACATCGCTAATAGCATCGCTTTTGATCCATCCATATCCATATCCCAATCCATATCCATCCATATTCCATCCAGATCCATCCAAAAATCCATATCTCAGAATATCTCAGAATATCCCGTAGCATTTACCTTTACTAGAAAACAGCACAAAAATACAGTCACCCCACATCCGCATCCTCCAATAGCCATGGCTACGGATTCCCATTCCCAGAGCCATGGTGGCTCCGGTTCGCGGCGAAGTGAACCTTTGGTGCCCTTGGAGATGGAACGCACAGGTCCTGGAAATTTCACCATCAACGATCCGGGAGTTTTGAATGGGATGTTCGATTTTTTGGGGATTTTGTTGTGGGTGAATGGGATAGAATATGGGATTTATTTTTTTTAGGATTTCATGAGATTTTTCAGATTTAGTGGAATTTATAATGGGGATATCCAGATGGATGAAGGTTAAATGGGTTTTAAAAATATCGGAAAAAGTTGGTACAAATTAGCACATGGTCATTTTCAAGTTAGAAGATGAGGGGTATACTTATCTAAACAAAATGCAAGATGACTTATGTCAACATGAAGAATGGGAATATTGCCCGCGAAGTATATAAATGAAAAGGTGTGGATCCTTAAAAGACTGTAATACTGCATTATAAAATCATATTATTAATTGATGGGGCCGCTTTTGAGTGGAAACTTGAGAAGTATGTTTATCCACAAGAACAGCTAGTGGTGATGCATCCTGGATGTGTTATTTTCCGAAACGAGATGATGATACCACAGACAGAGGGGTTCATATTCTGATGTAAGACAACCTGCCTGCCGTTGCGGAACATGGATGACTGTCCATGGTGAGGATTCCCAGTCTTTTTTAGGTCAAGCAAGCTGGGAAATCACCCATTTCCAACCAATGCATCCTGCGGTAAAGGGCCAAGCTGTGCAAACGTGTAGAATCGTGTCCGAAAATTCCTGCGTTCAGCGGAAGTTCAGCAACACAACCTCATGCAGTTTGTTTGTAACACGTAACTCTTGCAGGTGAAAACCTAAATATATATATATATATATACGTTATATATATATGTTTCTAAATTGCATTTTTGGCAGGTGAAAATCCCATGGTGCTGATTGGAACCCATTGCTTTAGAGGCAGCCGGCGCAGCAGTGTCAAAGCGACGCTGACGGACATGGCTCAGAGAAACTTGGAATCCGCAGCCAAGGCTGGGAGGCTGGGAGGCTGGGACTGAAGCACCCAAGAAAAAAGAGGGACCCTCTGGTGATTTTCCCATTAAATGGCCATAGAAATAGTGGATTTATAGTGGATTTAATGGGATTTATAGTGGATTTAATGGGATATGAATGGGATATACCCTCTGGTAATTTGTTACATAGCTATTGAAAATGGCCATAGAAAATTACCAGAGGGGATGTTTGCCAAGAAAAATGGGACAGAACTTTGACTTGACCAGCAGAATTCTGGGCTTTCTGGACCGACCGGATGGAAATAGCAACTACATTTTTTGGCCAATTGGATGGGTTTTTCTACTAATCAGCTGAAAAATGCCATGTTGTTCTGCGGTCTCTAAGATTGGCCATGGAGGGGTGTCCGGAAATGGCCCTGCCAGGGAGCCAGGTTTGGGGAAGACATGGGAAGACATTTTTTGGGCATGATCCCCAACCGCCAACCAGTAGATGCAAAAATCCCCTATTTGACATCATTTGCAGATCATGTTCCTTTCAGACATGGGGGAAAATGCTGAAACATTCTTGCTTGTGCCCATTGTTCTTGATTAAGAACCTGATTTTCTGCGATTTTTCAGCTATGTTTTCGTGGGAGATAGGCTATTACTCTTTGATAACTCTATCCCCATGTTTTAGTGCTGGTTCCATCATTTGTCCATCCCAGCATCCCATGGCATCCCGTTGTGGGCGATCCCGTTGGGCGACCAGGCGCTGGAGGCCAAGAAGCATTGGGCCGTGCAGCAAAAACTGGCGGACTCGGAACGGTTTCATACCACGGCGTCGTGGCAGAAGGGCGGCGAAAGGTCGAGTGGTCAGGGGGGCTTTGCGGTAGATATGTCTGAGATAAACAGAAAGTCAGACAGCAAAGATGGTGATTTGATGTGATTTGATGAATGAAAAGTGGAATCTAGATCGTAGAAACAGGCATTGAGCCAATCTGGGGATCAAGCCAAGATTGAACCCATATTTGACCAACAAAAAAACAACACTTTAGCATGGCAAAATGGGCATTGGCATTTGTGATCTCTCTGGGATTGCAGCCTGATGTTCCCCATCATGTCGTAAACCTGTTTTTTTCTATCTTGTTTGGGGATTGCATGAGATTTTCGCACCATATATATATAGTAAATTATAATATGATATATATACATATATATATACATATATATTTGTATGTGCATACATATATACATATATATATATAGTAAATTATAATATGATGTATATATATATAATTGTATGTGCATACATATATACATATATATATATAGTAAATTATAATATGATATGCATATATATATATATATTTGTATGTGCATACATATATACATATATATATAGTAAATTATAATATGATATATACATATATATATGTATGTGCATACATATTTACATATATATATATAGTAAATTATAATATGATATATACATATATATATATATATTTGTATGTGCATACATATATACATATATATATAGTAAATTATAATATGATATATACATATATATATGTATGTGCATAGATATATACATATATATATAGTAAATTATAATATGATATATACATATATATATATGTATTTGTATGTGCATACATATATACATATATATATAGTAAATTATAATATGATATATACATATATATATGTATGTGCATACATATGTACATATATATAGTAGATTATAATATGATATGTACATATATATATATGTATGTGCATACATATATACATATATATATAGTAAATTATAATATGATATATACATATATATATATATGTATGTGCATACATATATACATATATATATAGTAAATTATAATATGATATATACATATATATATATGTATGTGCATACATATATACATATATATATAGTAAATTATAATATGATATGTACATATATATATATATATATATGTATGTGCATACATATATACATATATATATAGTAAATTATAATATGATATATACATATATATATATATATATGTATTTGTATGTGCATATATATATATAGTATTAATACTGATAAAATGGAAGAGCCAAGGATCCAATGAAGTTCCACGGGTTCCCGGGCTCAGGCTGCTTATCCCCTGCGCTATCTCTGGCACCGTCCGCGGCTTTGTCTTGATCCAGCGGAACGAGAGGACCATCAGGTGCGGTGGCGGTCGAGGTTTTTTTCCCTGTGAAAATG